TGTCAAATTTTAGATCGTAGAATATTTTAACACGGTGTGAAATTTTAGATCGTAGAATATTTTAACACGGTGTGAAATTTTAGATCGTAGAATATTTTAACACGGTGTGAAAATTTAGATCGTTTCCCCGCGAAGATAGTAATTTATCTTACAAAAGGGATTTTTTGCCTCCGCTGCTAAACCCTCGGGTAAAGAAGAAGGAATGTGAAATAAATAAATGAATAATCACAAGGGTAACACGTCCCATATTTTTTCCTTAATGTTGAGCTTTTTAAGTATTATTCGTGTTAATAAATTGGAAAGGAAACGAATTACCGCTACATTACAAGTTAAACACGTAATCCTGTTCGAATCTTATAACAATGTGTCATCATTTAACGTCTCACTAAGTAAAGATCACAGCTTTCAATATATATATATATATAAAACAATTTTTAGAGAGGACACATCTATCACGGCAAATAATCCGGCATTTTTAACTGTACGAACATCCTCTACGTAGATAGACGTCACAAGCTTCAGCCTAACGCCGAGGGCTAGGTCGGGCAATTCGCACAGTTGAAGTCTATTGCTGCTTGTCTAATTAATAAATATAATGCAAGAAACAAGGTGTGACATATTCTCCAAGTGAATATTGATTACTCAATTGGATTATAGGTCTTTCTCTAATGTGATTTTTCTTAGATGTTTTCATCAGTTTGACCCATAAGTTCTATTAAAATTACACATTTCGTGTAATATTCATCATCATTTTACATACAAGTGCTACATTGATCAGTAAAACTAGGCCTAAGCTACCGAAAAGAAGAGTTAACGGACTAAGGTAAAACTTTACCACAAACACGGTAAAAAAAAAGCTAGATAAAAATAGTATTTTTTTACTTGTAATTTTAATAGAACTTATGGGTCAAACTGATGTGTAATTTTAATAGAACTTATGGGTCAAACTGATGTGTAATTTTAATAGAACTTATGGGTCAAACTGATGTGTAATTTTAATAGAACTTATGGGTAAAACTGATGTGTAATTTTAATAGAACTTATGGGTCAAACTGGCTTTCTGTAAATCTAAAGTTCATAGTTTCAATATACTTTCTCGTATTTAGAAAATTTACGATTGTTTTTTTTTAAATAAAAAAATTATAATAATATTTTACGACATATTAAATCAATGGTAGTCTAAGTTTGTATACGTTACCACCCTCATATACACACACGCACACACACACCTCAGAAGATTCCATAAGCTCGAATGCCGAAGGTATATCGTTCTTAATGTCTTGAGTTGGAGAAAGCTGAGTGGCAACCTGGTCGTTGTCTTCTGGGGCTTCTCTCTTCTGCCCTGTGGGGCTACTTGCCTGTGCCAGAGGGCTAAGTTGCGCCATTTTTGATAGTTGAGCACCCGATTCAATACACAAACACAAAACAATGTAATCTAAATAGTTATCCTTTACTGTATGCAGCAAACGCTGCATTCAACTGACACTCGTTTCATGCAAATGATATCGAGATGCAGAACTCGGGAGATTCCTATGTACACGTTTAAAATTCTCCACCAACTACGGCCACTAGTCTTCTAGCCCTTCTGGGCTGATGGACTACCTGTACGTCTGTGCCACGTATAGGACAGGTTGTGGAACAGTTGAAGTTCTTGCACGCCACAGCAGGTAAGGAGAACTAGATTTAACAGAGGGGGAGAAGGGGAAATGAAGGGAATATAGACGGTCAACACTGCAAGCCTTACTAGACTACCTGCCTAAATGGCCCCAGGATATCCGAGCGTTCGAGTTAGTAATAAGTGTAAAGTTCACGCATGGCTGACGCCAGAGATTCTGCAGTGTTCCTTTTGGGAAAGCACAGCCAAGAATTACAGCGTCCCAGTTGGACGCATAAATTAGAAAGACTGCCCACTTTCATCTGTCTTATGGCCATATACCTGTTGAGCAAGACACCCCTTTCAACACCCCTTATCTCTCGTCGAATGTTGTTCGAAACGTGATAAGCCCCTTTTGTTCTGAGAAACCAGAATTTGCTAAATAACCTCACAACTATAATAGTTTGTGCCTGACCAACGTAGCTCCGCCCCATATAAGAAACGTGACAATGTCAAAAATAGAAATATTAAAAATTTTTTTTATTTCTTACAAATACAGCGAATGCTGGACATACGGGTATTTGATACCTACTGTCAAAGTAAAGCAACTAACCATTAAAAAGTAGTTGGTTCAAATAGAATTTTCGCGAAGACCAACACACGTACCTGTTTCTAATTTAGAGCCGAAGTGAAAGATATTAGTCAATAGCGCCAAGTGTCAACTTTTGTCTGACAGAATGGTAAGATTTGATCACGAATCTTATAGCAGCAACGGGTCCACGAGTCAGGAACTCTCGGATTCACAATCCGGCCACTCTAACTAGTAGGCCACGCCTGGCCCCCATCACGCAGAATGTGACATTTACAACAAATTATCGGATGTATTCATTTGTTAGTCACTCCCCCCATATCGGTCGCTCAGCGGTAAGCTTGAGAGCTTATAATGCTACAATTCGGAGTTTAATCCCTGCAGCTATTACAGCACGTTGTGCAGCTTTTTGCTTAAACAAAAAAAAACTAGTTGCAAGGAACACATTATTATTAAAATAAAAATTATAGATACATACGCAAAAGCTCCCCAGTGGCACAGCGGCATGTCTGCGGACTTACAACGCTAGAAACCGGGTTTCGATACCCGTGGTGGGCAGAATACAGATAGCCCTTTGTGAAAATATACGGAAGTGATTTTTTTTTCAAAGTTACCAAGTTAAGAAGGAAGCCATGTTTAGCATTTCTACACACAGTACACCTTTCTCCTATATGTTCTGACCAACAAATATTAGTATGCGTTAGTGATATTTGGAAGCTCGATGTTGAGGGTAACATATATTTTTTTTTAGGTTAACAAGAAGTCACGAAGTTTCACGTCAGGTAAGGGAAACATAAGATGTTATCTGTGGTCTGGTAAATTTACCAAATGGTTAGTAAAATGGAAGCTAGGTAATAAAGACAAAGAAAAGTACACAAACAAATCAAAAAGTATTTTGGAAAACAGTTTTAATAACACCTAAACTAAAAGCCAATTATTGAAACCATGTGAAGCAATCGGGTCAATAATTAAGCTGATATTAATACTGTTTTCTAATCAATACCTTTCCATTATTGCCAGCCCCCCAGTGGCATAGCGGTATGTCTGCGGACTTACAACGCTAGAATCCGGGTTTCGATACCCTTGGTGGGCAGAGCAAAGATAGCCCATTGTGTAGCTTTGTGCTTAATTACAAACAAACAAACCATTCTTGCTATTAAACTATTTTTACCCGTGTGTGTGTGTGTGTGTGTATGTCGTCTTTTTTCCGTATTGACTTTATTACCGCCATTGGGTAAGAGGAGCCATGGGGGGCCTCTCTCTCTCTCTCTGGGTATCCAGTATGTTATACACAATATTATAAGATGATATTTGTATTTTGGAATCAACACAAAAAACATATCATTAAAATATTTGTATTATTATTATTATTACTATGGTACATTTTTTGACGAATTTAGGATGGTCCATTTTAGTAAACGGGTAAAAAAAAAAAAGTACAGCTATATGGGATGATGAAGAAATTAAAAAAAAATGATTTTTTGTAGCATTTTGTTCAAGAAATGTTCGGGTAATTTCTGGAACAGAATTACATATTTTTTATTTTTTTTAATTTGACAAAATTATATTTTGTGTAATTATTACACGGGGATCGGGATCATTCAGGCACACTTAGGGCTAAGAAAAGCTCGCGGCTGTATCTTCATATAATTACGCTTCCAATTCAGTTCTGTCCAATAGGTTTTACGCTGACGTCGACAAGCCACACCTCGCGTTTAAATATGCAGCATGGCTCGCCTTAAGAACGACCTTTTTCAGTGGCAGCGTTCTGTTAAGAAACAGAGTGCCTTAGTAACGCGTACATGACACTCGGAGCTTCGTAGAACAAATATATAACGCGTACAGTTCACGAGCCCTCGTTGTCAGTATACAGGGTTGACACACGTTTTTAATGAAAAATATGATACATTTAGTTTCCACGTTGTTTGCTTTTATAGGGGAAGACAGACATATCTATATCCGTTAATTAACAAAAGAATTAGTAGGTTTGACTGTCACAGTTACAAAGCACCCACGACTCTAAAGTGCAGATCGCGATGTATATATATATATACACACATTTGTCTTGCGGTAGCAGGATACGTACGCTGGACCCGCAGCTTCATGAGCGGGTTGCGGCACCAAACTGTGTGTGGGAATTTGACTTGATTATTGTGGATGTCACGTATATATATATATACTACATCCCACAGAAAAAGCAGGGTTGGGGCAACTGCTCCCCTTTGCCTTGCCCGTAAAACAACCTGTACGCAGATTTATGGTCCACCACGCTAACCACTAAGCCACGCTCGGACCTTAAATAATTGGAGTTGTTTTTAATATAAAAGCTTCTCATAACAAATCGCAATAAGACAGTAATAACCTTTCTAAGTCTTAACCAAACAATGCATAAGCTGCAAACAGAGAAATTAGACTTTTAAACTAAGGGGTCAGACAAACAATTATAAAGCTGCAAACAAAGAAATTAGACTTTTAAACCTAAGGGGTCAGACAAACAATGCATAAAGCTGCAAACAAAGAAATTAGACTTTTAAACCAAGGGGTCAGACAAACAATGCATAAAGCTGCAAACAAAAAATTAGACTTTTAAACCAAGGGGTAAGGCAAACAATGCATAAAGCTGCAAACAAAAAATTAGACTTTTAAACCAAGGGGTAAGGCAAACAATGCATAAAGCTGCAAACAAAAAATTAGACTTTTTAA